AGCAGGGCTGGCTGGGGAATTCTGGGAGTTGAAGTCCACACATCTTAAAGTGGCCAAGGTTGAGAAACACTGGGATACATAGTGGTTTTCACAGCATCCTGGGTGGATTGTGTCCCGTAAACTGTAGTTGGGGAAATCAGAGTTCGTTTCTGTTTGTTCCCGCATTAGCATGTGGTGAGCGGGAGCCCGTCTTTCCTGTTGGGATTCTGCTCGGTCCTTATTATAGCAGGGTGGTGCTCAGCTACGCGGTAATGATGCTGAAATTACTCGTGTACAAAATGAGAGGAACCAACGTTTGTGGCTTCACTTCCAAAAAAACTAAGGGTTTCCACGAGCTTGAAAAATTGGGATTTTACGTCTACGAGCCCAGAAAGAAGGATCTTTTCCAGGATTCATGAAAACCCAAATACAAGTTGTTAATCCTTTAGGCTTTTGAAGATGCCCTTGTGGATTTTAGAAGAGAGCAAATAAGGTTTCCCGTTCAGGGGTTGGGAGTCATTGCTGTCACTCACGCCTTGGTTAACCCCTTAGGGGAATCAAACTAACATATGCAAAACGTGTATGTGCTGGTTTGTATTATGCAGGTTGCAGATTTCTGTGGTTTTAAGAGCAGAACTGGAGGTTTTTTAAAAAAAAAAAACGTACAGTAGAGCATTTGGCTATAGGAGCTGGTAAAAGGAGCAGAGTAACAGTCCTGGCTGTATTCATTTTCTTTCTGTTCCTGAGTTTTAGGGCAGCTTAGCTAAAACTGCTTGATTGTGGTCCCACAGACTAGGAACGTGTAAACCTTGAACCTCAAGGAGGTGGGCAAGGTCCTCCTGCTTGCTAGTTTGGCCACCTCTTTGTCAGATCCTGGATCCTCCTGGTCTGTTAAGGTGGCCCAGGTGGTGGCCAAGGTCTGGGTCCATGCGGTGGCATCTGCCTGTTTGAGAGAGGAAGTGGTTCTGCTGGCTTGGAAGGAGGCGGTGATATGCCCCCTCCTTAAGGAGCTATTGTTGGACCTCTCCATTCTGGACATACCATCCCGTCTCCACCCTTCCCTTCGTGGAAAAAGATTGTTGGGCAACGGTTACCGAGGATCTTGGAGGAAATGGATTATCTGGACCCGTTTCAGTTGGGTTTCAGACCAGGGTACAGTACAGAGATGGTGCTGGTCGTGCTTGTCGATGACCTTTGGCAGAGTCTGGATGGGGGTGGTGCGTCCATCCTAGCATTCATTGATCTCTCAGGGGCTTTCGATCCCGTTGACCGCATCATCTTTCTGAACCGGCTGCAGGAGTTGGGAGTGGGAGGCACTGTGTTGCAGCGAGTCACCCCTTTCTTCAGCAGTTGATTTCACTCGGTGTTGACAGGGAGGAGAGCGGTCACCCTGCAGCCCCTCCTTTGCAGGGTGTCTCAAGGCTTGACGTTCCCCCCTCCCCTGTTTAACATCTGCATGAAGCGGTTGGGTGAGGTCATCTGTCAGTTTGGGGTTCGGTGTCATCAGCAAGCTTTATATCTCAACTCTGGGCTGTGCAAGTGAAACTGCTGATGTACGGACCCAGTGTTTGGGTACACAAGGGACCACCAGTCTCCACCCGTTTCTGCCCACTCGTTAGGTTCTGGCAGGGTGGGTATGCTCCAGGCCCCTTCTATTAAGTGCCGTCATCTTATGGGACCAAAGAAAGATGCCTTCTTTGTCGCGGCCCCCGCCCTCTGGAACAGCGTCCCCCAGAGATACGGACAGCGCCCTCTCTCCGGAGTTATGAAAAGGGCTTAAGACCCGGCTTTGGTCTCAGGCCTGGGGTTGAGGCGTTTGCGCGGCCCCTCGTTTGGCCTGCTGTCATTTGATTTTTTTATTTCGGGATGTCTGAGGGATTGTATGTTTTTAACTGTTTGTATTGTTTTGTATTTGCAAGCTGCGCAGAGTTTATGGGAGTGGGCAGTTATAAGACAGTTAAAACAACAACAACGACTGAAAGCAAACGAAAACAGTTTTCTTGGCAATACCAAATAATTTGCCCACAAAGACCATGCCATGATCTTGCAAAAGCCCATAAACAGCATCCCCCCATCGCCTATTAAAGAGCGAAAGGCCATCTGGTTTTCGCTTTAGTCAATTAACTGGGCTAACTGGAGCTAGTTACTGTCATCCATTTGGGTGGACTAATCGGTGCGGCTGCACAAAATTGAGGAGTGGGGAAACAGCCCACTCCTGAGGCACGTCTCTTGACTGACCACGTGTTTCTTGCCTCTCTCTTCACAGCCCTCTGGTGCCAGCATGGAGGGCGGTGTGGATGGCCCCATTGGGATCCCCTTTCCCGACCACAGCAGTGACATCTTGAGTAGCTTAAACGAGCAGAGAAACAACGGGCTGCTCTGCGACGTGGTGATCCTGGTGGACGGGCAGGAGTTCCCGACCCATCGCTCCGTCTTGGCGGCCTGCAGCCAGTACTTCAAGAAGCTGTTCACCTCAGGGCTGGTGGTGGACCAGCAGAACGTGTACGAGATAGACTTTGTGAGTGCAGACGCCCTCTCAGCGCTGCTGGAATTCGCCTATACCGCCACTCTAACCGTCAGCACTTCGAACGTCGGCGAGATTCTCAATGCTGCCAAGCTGCTAGAGATCCAGGCGGTGAGGGACGTTTGCACGGATCTCCTGGACAGGAAGATTCTGGCCAAAACTGACCAGATGGATACAGTAGATCAAATTGATCAAAGGAACCATCTCCGAGCAAAAGAATACCTGGAGTTTTTCCAGAGTAATCCCATCAATGGCCAACCGGGCACCTTTCCATGGACCAACCAAGACTTGAGAGACCTTCAGAGGCTCAACTTCCGTGGCCGAGAGGAGGAGGAAGAGCCGGACTGCAACGGCATGGACTTCTACTCGCAGGCCGCCCTCAGTGACAGACCAAAGGCAAATGACTGTGATCCTGATGCCAAGCACGCCATGTGGGAGGAGGATGAGGTGACGGCCCAGGGACCCTTGTTCCCGCCCTCTCAAAATGGACAGTTTGGTGGGCGTAGCCTGCCGGTGGCCATGGGAGAGGATGACGCACCAGCGGCAGTTCAGTTGGACCAGCAGGAAGTGGGAGATTCTCCGGCTTTTGCTTCCAGGAGACCGGAGAGCGAGGAAGTAGATGCCCGGGAAGTGGATGGCTTGGCCGCCAGCGCGCTCCTGCAACAAATGATCAATTCGGTGGGACGGCAGCAGCTGGCTGACGAGGACCGCAAGGATGACGATGGAGTCATGGATTATTACTTGAATTATTTTAGCACTTCCCAAGAGGGCAGCGAGTATCCATCCTGGTCTCAGAAGGTGGAGAAGAAGATCCGAGCGAAAGCATTCCAGAAGTGCCCGATCTGTGAGAAGGTGATCCAAGGAGCTGGCAAGCTCCCACGCCATATTCGAACCCACACTGGCGAGAAGCCGTACGAGTGTAACATTTGCAAAGTTCGGTTTACAAGGTAAGGGGGGCAGCAGGGGGGAGGAAGTCGGGGTCTGCCTTGCCATTGTGTCTGAACACAGCTGCAAGGCAAGGTGGAGGCAGATTGGGGTTCGTTTCACCTTCTGTTGGGAACGATATCTGCCATCTTCTGTATCATCCCTCCATCTCCTAATTCCCTCCAAATATGTTGGGTTTCTAGCTCCAAGAAATTCTAATATTAAACCAACCCCAATGAAACCATGGCTAAAATTCCCAGAACTGGTTGGCTGTTCTTGCACCTCATCTTTCTTTTTAGCCTTTCGGGGAATAACGATTCCCTCATAAGAGAGCGTGATATTTATTTGGCCTCAATTTGGAGAATCCCAGACCATTTTCTGTTCAGTTTTGAGGAGGGTTGTTTAATCTGGTCCTCCTACACTTTTGGGAAGGAGGCTGATGAAGTTGTTTCCAAATTTTATTGAGCCACCTTAACAAGATCAAGGTGCACTTGGGCATATTTTTGTGTGCTGCACAGCCAAGAGAGGCCCTCTGGTTGACAAATGCAGCTCCTCCTGGGCTTTGTAAGTAGAACTAGGGGATCACAGCTGAGCAGAAGATATCCACAGGTGTATGTAGAATCAATTCAATCTCCAGCAACTCCCACTTGCAACAGACTTGGTCTCCAGTGTTCTCCAGATGTTTGGGCCTCCAGATTCCATGATCTTTTAACTGTTGGTTGTGCCAGCTGAAATTGATGGGAGATAGAGCCCCAAACACCTCCATGGGGCCAGGCTGCCTCCTTCTGGAGGGACTGTAACCACTGCTCTCAGTCCCAAAGGAGGCTGCTTCTGATGTTCTTCTCAATTCCACAGAGACTTTGGATGGGCAGATTAAGTTTAAGATCCATTAGAGCAAAGAGGCGGCAGGCCTTGACCTGGGGGACTCAGTTAAATCTCTAGTGGCTCCACTCACGTAGAGCCCAGGTTTGATGAGTTTTAACTTTGGGGGAGGGTTGTGCTTTTTTGTGGCTGAGCAGGTTGGGCAAACCCGGCTCGCTCGGCAAGTTGATCGTTCCGTGTATTGTGCAAATCCAGGAATTGGATTCATTTGGTAACCAAGTTAAATGGTTGGGTGAACCTGCCTGTGAGTCTTGGAGTTAGAGAACAACCTGTGGTGAAGAGCCATTGGGCAGGGTTAGCCTGGAAGAAGTCAGTGCACCAATGCCTGAGAAGAAGGCTGTTTTTCTCTGTGGATTGCTTTTCAGAAAGATACTGTCTCTCTGTGCAGGAGGCCAGCTGGTTCCTCATGACCTCATAGAGTATGCACATTATTCCTCCCCCCCGCCTTTAATGTTCTTAGATCCATTCTCCCCCTCCTGGAAGGGGGGGTCCCTTTGCATTAAGACTGTTCTTCCATGCCCTGCAGTGCATTAGGAGAATTTATGGCAGACGAAAGCAGAGCAGCAGGTTGCAAGCAGAAGGTGGCTGGCTGCATTGCTCTCCCATAAGCCTGTTTGCCAAACCTTTTCGGAGAAAGGAAGAGTGTGGGGATTACACCCCTGTTGAAGCCAAGGCTTCGAAACCCAGTCCGCAATACGGGGGGAGAAAGGTTGCACAATATTCCCTTCCTTCGGCAGAAGACGCTGCCTTTTGGTGGGGGGAGACGGAAGATGCGTCTCCCCCCGCGGGGAAGGCACCTCCACTTCTTGTCACTGCTTCATTTATGCTGCTTCCTGCCTGCCCAGTAATAGGAATTCTCTGAGCAGCGCACAGTCCATTAAGAGGGCGTCAGGGCACAGAACTACCTAAGCAATACGAAGCTGGAACGTCGGGTCGACTTTCTCTCTGGAAGCCCGGAGGGTTGCCGAGAGGCTTGGCTGCCTCTCAAACGAGGCCGCTGTGGCATTGCTGCACGTTTCTTTGCCGTCCCGTGGCTGAGCTGGGCAGGAAAGGTTTGAGAGCGGAGTCCTGGTCTACTTCCAGTGCTCATGGAGGCGGTTGCAAGACATCTTCCTCATCCCACCCTTTCGGTTTTCTTTTCCCAGCATTCCAGGCAAATGGGTCTGGCTCCACTTTTGTTTTTCCCCTAAAGTTTCTTCCCCCCCCACAATGCTTGCTTTTGGACTTTTGTCAACTTCAGGGCTCTCCCGGGTACGCCAGTCCTCCGCCCTCCTCCTCCCATTTTGGCTACAGTCAGGCTGACACTCGACAGCTCAGTTTAATATTAGAAGGAGTGGGTTATTAAAAGGAACAGGAGTTGCATCATATTCGGGTGACCAAGCAGAAATAAGTCCTGGGTGGACGGGGAAAACTTTTTATTCCGTTTTGGGACTTTGGGGGAGATGGGTTGTAGGGAAGCTAGTGCCTTTCCAACATGGAGGCCCTCCTGAAGCATCGACTTCAACTCCCAGAGTTCCCCAGCTAGCATGGCGATTCCTGAGCATTCTGGGAGTTGAAAGTCTCTCTCCCGGTATGTGGACTTCAACTCCCAGAATTCTCCAGCCAGCATGACTGTTCCTGAGAATTCCAGGAGTGGAATTGCAATTTTAAAAAAAATACAAGGGAAATAATGGAGGAAAAAAGGGGAAATTAAAAATGGGAGTTGAAGCCCACACATCTGGAAGTTGCCTAGGTTGGGAAACGTTGCTTTAAAGCAGTGTCTTTCGAACTTGGTAATTTTAAGATGTGTGGACTTCAACTCCCAGAATTCCCCAGCCAGCATGGCTGGCT